TTTCCTCTAGGCACAGCCAGTGCGCCCCGCGACAATCAGACGGATAGCTCAGCGGTCAGACAGGTGGCAGGTGGGGTTCGGGCCTGGCCACGGCCGCGGGCTCATGAGCCCGCGACGCGGTAGTGACGTAGTGGCGCGGCAGGCAGGCAGCATCCCCTGCCTGCACCCCGCCCCTACGGGCTGCTCAGCCCGAACGGGCTGGCCCGGGCTGCGCCGGGTCTTGGGTTGAGTCCGGGCTGGGCCGGGCCGGGCTCGGGCTGCTCGCTCCGTAGCGTCGGGCTCCTTTTCGGGCGAGCAGTGAGCCCATTCCGGTCTCTGAGAAGAGCCCCCGGACAGCCTTTCAAAATAGTAGACTTCCAATTACCCAAAAATAGGGTCTTGGATCCAAAAAAAAAGGTCGTTTCTAAAAATAGATCCCAAAAATAGATCCTATCTTAAAGAACCCAAAAATAGGTATTTAAAATAAGGGGCTAAAAATAGGTTCCAAAAATAGGTCTTAAAATGGAATTTTTAAATTTTATCTTGATTTGGGGATCTAAAATAGATGGAAAAAGTAGCAGCTTAATCTGGGGATCTGTTTCTATTTTTGGAACTAAATTCAGGTCTTAAAATAGGGCATCTAAAAATATCCTAAAAAAAGGTGGTAGGACAAACGAAAGGTAGGACAAACGAGGCGACCCGGGGCATTATTATTTGCACGCCAGAGGAGCGAGTGTGTGTGTGTGTGTGTGTGTGTGTGTGTGAATGTGTGTGTGTTACTGTGTGAGTCGGCACGAGAAAACGACTCCACAATCTGTCGCGACTGGACGCGGCTCCGGTGCTCCGCGTCTCCGCGGCGCCAGCCCAGCATCCACGCACGCCGACAGCGTCTCCGGAACTGCCATGTAAAGACACACGCGGCCCGGGAAATATAACGACGATCAAACCGCCCGCCGCCGCCGCGGCGGCACTGTAACTACTTTCCTTTTAACAAGCAGCAAACGAGAGTGCGCGTTTCCATACCGTTAAAAAACCAGGGCATCGCAAAAAAAAAAATCCGCGAAGGATTAACTGTTCCTAGTGTTTCGTGGCCAATCGCGACAGCGGAAGCGCGAGGAAGAGAAATGCGTCAAACTGACCTCTCCGACACCGGGTGAGGCTGTGTCCCCGCGGAGCCACGGCGTCGCATAGCGTGGCGCGGCCGAGCCACAACAAGAGAAACTTTGCTTTCTTCCGCGAGGCCGGGCAATGTCACTTGGTGTCTTCCCCGGCCCGTTTGGTGCGGACACCCACTTGTTCGGAAATTTACATCCCCCCCCCCCTCACGCACACACGCACACGCATCTCATTGCAAGCCCGCATATCCCGGCGTACAAAGGGCATTATCTCATTGCGAGCCAGTGTCCCTCGCGTCCTCGCCGCCCCCTCGCTCGCGGCCGAGAAGGCCGTCACCCAGCACCCGCGGTACGCTGCAGAGAATCCAAACAGCGAATTCCCGTTTCGCTTTTTTCTTTTCGCAGTGGCGCAGTCGATCCAGACAGGCCAGACGGGCACACGCGCGCGCTCGTCTAATTCACTCGCACAGTGGCTAACTGTTCCTGCAGCTACTGGTCCGTGCACTCCGTGTGCGAGCGAGTGCACTAGTGCGAGGAGATGCCGGTTTGATAGTCCGCGCGCCGCGTGCGCTGCCCACACTGGAAACGGCCGAAACGGCGCGGCGCCGCTCTGCGTTTCGAGACGGACCTTACAGGGGGTTTTCGCCGTCCCAATTCAGCGGCCAGGTAGGCGAGGCGCAAATCAGGCGGCGGCGGGGCACAGTGGGCCAGAAGCCGGTGGAGGCGGCAAAAACTCTGGACTCGTTTTGAGCTCCAGAGTCGCAAAGCAGGACTCGAACCGAACGTGTGACCCCACCAATGGATTGCTCTCCGAACGAGGAATCCGTTGGTGGGGTCACACGATCGTTTCGAGGCCTGTTTAGCGACTCTGGAGCTCAAAACGCGTCTAGAGTTTTGGCCACCTCCACCGGCTTCTGGCCCACTGTGCGGGGTGGTCGTTGTTGTGTCGATTCGCCTGTCCCGCCGCCGTCCGAGCTAAACGGTGCCCCATTTGGAGGCGGCCAGCAACCGGCCGCCCCGAGCGGTCGACGCTCGCCTCGCCCTGTCTCTCTCGCACTCGTGGAGTGAGCCGTAAGGGTGCGAGAGAGACGGAGCGAGGATCGCTCCACTGCTTGACACGGCGCCATCTGCAAGTCAAGCGGTCCAGGCCGCGCAGCAGCGGGTTCCCACTGCAGTGGCGCTCTGTCTCTCTCGCACCCCCACGGGACGGCTCCACGGGGGCGAGAGAGACAGGGCGAGCTGCTGGGCGCGGCGGGCCAGCGGAAGGCCGGCGGCAGGTGCGTAGGCCGCCCCTCAGAGAAGCGCCAGCGCGGCCAGCGCGCTCTGCCCGGCCTTGGCGGACGCCTGCAGAAGCTCTCCTCGCACAAGTGCGCCGAGCTTTGCAGTGCAGTGGCTGGCAGTGGCGGCACGGCAAGGGTGGGCGCCAGGGCCAGGGCCAGGGCCGCCGTGGCCGCGGGCAGCGCCGATCACTTTCCTCAAACAAACGGTCGAGTGGTTGCGAAACAAAGGTAATCAAATCGACGCGCCGTGCTGCGCCGTTCCAGGCGATTCAACCCGCCGCCGACTGAAAAAAGCGGGAAAGACAATGGAGGCGGCTAATAAGTACGTGTTCGCGGCGGATACCAATCAGCGGAGGAGAAACGAGTCGGGGAAGGGAGGACCTCCGGCGTGGAGAAACTAACAGAGACATTGACGAGTGGAGTGACAACCACCGTGACGGAACCGCGGCCCCGCCCCGCGCGACCCACGCCCCGCCAGCCCCGCCACCGTGCGATCGAGGAGCGATGCGGCGCCTCGGCCTCCAAACCGCCTCTGGGAAGCAGCCTGGGAAACACTCGGCTTCTGGTCAGATGGGCGTCGGGCATGGCCAACGAGCTTCTGCTGGGTGTGAAGTACGCATGAGTGGCATAACCGTTTTAGGCAATGTAACAGTAAGAAAGTCGTATCCATGGCTTAAGCTTGCCAACAGGTTCAACATCGTGGCTTGAAACTTCAGGCCACTCAGCCGGGTGTTTACCTTCCACGTCGTCACAGTCGCGGACTTCGAAGGCGTCGTCGACGGCGAAGCCCTCGTCCACCAGGTCGCAGAGGTTCACGTTGACGCCGATGCTGGCCTTGGCGGGCCGCGCCGCCCCCTCTGGAGGCGGCGGGGGCGGCACCACCATGCGGACGCGCGGCGTCGCGGCCACCGGAACCTCCGCCGACAGCATGGCCGCTTCCGGTGGGGACTACACTACAAAGCGGCCGAGCTTCGCCACCACACTGTGCACCGCACACACCGACATCACCGCCACGACGAAGTCCGACTCGCGGAGCGGCAAGGGAACGCGGCTCGCGGGAACCACGAGGCGGCCAGGCCCGCGCGACCGCCGCAGCCAGACTAGTGCACTGCACACGGGGAGCGGGGAACACACCGCCGCCCCGCCGGCCGCGCCGCGCGCCGCGTGCGGCCCCACCAGCAGAAGCGGACGACGCGAGCAGACGACGCGACGCGACGCGCAGCCCACGGCGCACGCCGGTGCATCCACGACACCGTCAGACAGAACGCGCACCGGCTGGGCCGACAGCATGACAGCGGGGAAAATACTCATCCGCCCTTACCGCCAGCCAGACCCTCTGCTGGGCGGCGGCGCGGCGCTGCGGCGGGTGGCGTGACGTCCATGCCCTTCGTTGCTAGGCAACCCGCGCGGCGCGGTCACGCAAGCCCCGCGGGGGCGTACCAGGGGCGTACCCAGGCGGGCGCACCCACACCGCCCACGTGTGGTACACGGCCAGGACGATGACGCAGATGTGGACACCTTCGGTGCCAGCTTGGCCTGGCCAGGCCGCGGTCACCTTCACGGCCAGCACCGCCAGCCACCCGAGCCGGGCGGGGCGGGGTGGGGCGGTCGGGCGCCACCTTCGGCACACAGTGTGCTGCACGCCTTCGACGCCGGCCTTGGCGGCGGAAGGGCGGGGCGGGGCTCGCCGCGCCAACTTTAAACAAATTCGCCAGCGCCATTATGCCGAGCGAAAAAGCGTGCACCAGCGCGGGGCGATTGCGGGCAGTGTTTTCGTCTCTCTCGCACTCAAGGGGCGTCCCGCAGGGCTGCGAGCGAGACAGAGCACTGTTCGTGGTCAGCCCGCAGGCGCGGAACGACACAGGGACCGCGGTTCCAGACGCGTTTGTCCGCCGTATAAGGCAAAGCCCGCAGTCCGCGGCCAGCGCGCCGGCGTGACGCAACAAATGCGCGCTCACTCGCACACTCACGCGATGCAGACGCGCCTTATGTAGAAATGCACCGCTCCTGTTGCAGCCCAAGGCGGCCCAGGCCCAGAGTGCAACACATGGCGGAGCGCGATGCCCAAATCACAGTGGCGGTGCAGTGAGAGCGCGGGGTATTGACGCGAGTCCCTCGGAGAAAGGGGTATCGCCACGCGAGGGCAGCAGTGCAACAGCATGTACTGACTCCCAATCCCAAGAGGGTATCGCCGCCGTCTCTCTCGCACTCGTGGAGCGTGGGGATGAGGGAGGCGCAGCACAGTGGGTCAGAAGACCGGTGGAGGCGGCCAAAACTTTGGACGCGTTTTGAGCTCCAGAGTCGCTAAATGGGACTCGAACCGAACGTGTGACCCCACCAATGAATTGCTCTCCGAACGAGGAATCCATTGGTGGGGTCACACGTTCGATTCGAGTCCCATTTAGCGACTCAGGATCCCAAAACGCGTCTAGAAGTTTGGCCGCCTCCACCGGTCTTCTGGCCCACTGTGCGCTGGCCGGCGGTTCGGACTCGCTCCTCGGCTGGCAGGACCGAGCCGCACGCTGGGCTGCGTGCCGCCCGGGCGGTGAGGGCGCGGCGTCGAATGGGCTGCCTACATCCCGGCGCTCTGGCGCCAGAAGCGCCACACACAGCAAACTCGACTCACCGGCTATGTCACGGCGCTCCTGCGGACTGAGCCTCGCGCGCACGTCCACGTCCTCCAGGATGGCGTTCAGGCACCGGCAGTTCTCCGAGCACGTCTGCAGGAAGTCGGCCTGCAAGAAGGCGGACGTCAGTTCGGCCGCAGCACGCCGAGCACTCGAGTCCAGCGATCGGGAACTCACGTAGTCTTTGCCGAGGATGATGCTGGACGCCACGGAGGCCAGCTCGGTCTCGAACATCTTCTCGTGCTCCGCGTACTGCGTCTGCGACTGCTGTATCCTCTGCCGCAGGTCCTCCAGGTCCGTGTCACTGTCCCCCTCCTCCATCTCCAGGCCGTTCTGCGCGGGGAGGCGAAACAAAGTTACAACTCCACGTCGCCAAAGTCACTGCACTTCACCTCGGCACTGGGCCACCACTGCACTCACGGGGTTGCGAATGCGGCGCCGGTGCACTGCGGGGGACCCGTTGTTGGGGTTGGTGCTGAGCGACGAGGCGCAGTCCGACTGGCTGTCCAGGAAGGTGCGGTAGTCGTCCCAGTCCAGGAGGCGGCGGGCGGCCTCGGGGTCCGGGGGGTCCTCGCTGTACGGCTCGCTCAGGTACTTCTCCTGAAAAAAAAAATATCACACGTTAGGAACACTAGGCAAAATTTTTCAAAAAAATCTCATAAATAATTTATTTGCTGGCTTGGATTTATAAATATTTTTTTCCAGAGTAGGACCGTAACCAATTAATCGGCTGGTCAAAATTGGCGGCGAAGGGAAAGGGCGGGGAGGCAGCACGAAGTGAAAGGGCCACCGAAGGGACGGACCCAAAGGGCCTGCAGCGGCCGGCCTGTCCCTCTCGCACTCGTGCGAGAGCGAGAGGGACAGAGGCACTGTTGGGACTCGGTCTGCAGAGCCGGGTCCTGTTAGCCTAGGCTGCGCTGGCTGTGCTGCAGTGCCATGCGCTGCCGTGTAGCATTGTGCGAGCAGCAGTGTCCGCGCCGTGTCGTGATACGAGCATTAGGGTAATGAGACGATCCAGCCCTGCAGATCCCCGACCCGCCCCGCCCCCGCCAGAGACCGAAAGTGCCAACTCAACGGAGACGAAATTATTCTCGGGTGGTCACGAATCGGCGCGCAAGGCATACGTCTAGCAGTGCAGCGGTCGCAAGGAAAGCGCGACACTTCCGCCTCGTGAGTTGGCGGCTCTGCATTGCTTTGCAGGCGACTGCCGCACCCGCGCCGCGGGCCGGATTCGAACCAGCGACCTTTGGCCCCCGGCCACCCACCTGGTAGCTGTCCCAGGACGCCTGCTCCGTGCTGTGGATGCTCAGCTTCTCGACGTCGCTGCCCGGGCCCTGCAGGCCGCCGCCGGCCCTCCGCCTGGCGCGCATGGCCGCCACGGAGATGCCGCCCTCCTCGGGGCCGAGCCGGAACACGGGCACCGGGAGGCCGGGCGCCGCGCCCACCACCGCCTGCCCGGCCAGCACGGCGTCGTCCTCGTCCGTCTCCGTGCTGCTCACGACGCGCGCGGACCGGCGGTGCGAGGCGGGGTCGCTGCAGGACAGGCGGTCCGACGCGCGGTCCGAAGACACGCGCGCGGCCGGCGTGCCCGAGAACGACCCCGACTTGACGATGCCGCCGGCCTGCTGCTTGCCGGGCGACGACAGCGGGCTGCTCGTCTTCAAGGGCAGCAGCCGCGACGACGGCGTCCTCGACGACGGCGTCCTCTGCGCCGGCGAGTCGGGCAACGGGTACACGCCGTCCGAGCCGCTGTCGCACCTGCGCGACTGCTGCAGGGAGAACAAGAGTTATTTTCATCCTCGGCCCAGTGTAAGTGTCTCCTGATCGCGGGGACTATCGAGCTACAAATTTGGTGGATACTCACCGTCCGCTTCCTGGAGCGCATCTTCCTCCTGCGCAGCGAGCCGGCGCCCGAGCTGGAGCCCGCGCACGTGGTGTGCGCGACGGACTCCTCGACGGTGGACGAGGAGGCCATCATCTCGGCCAGCCCCTCCGCCTTGCCGGGCGTGGACGCCGCCGGCGAGGCCAGCTGGTGCAGCGCCGACTCGGAGATGGAGAACTGCGACAGCTCGCCCGCCGCCACGCCCGTCGGCAGCGACCCCACGGACATGGCCATGAGCTGCGGCAGCCCCGACACGCTCCAGGGCCGGTCGCCCGTCAGCAAGCCGCGCCGCTTGTTGCGCAGGATCACCTGGGGGACAAGCACAGGAGTCATTTCCGATGTCCCACTGACTGCGTTTGGCACGTGTAGAAGACAACGGCGACGCACCTTGGCCGACGACCCCGAGTCCGAGTGGCCCATGCCCAGCCCGAACGGCAGCCGCGGCGCCCGCTCGCTGCCGGGCGTGTCCTGGTCCAGGATGGCCTCGTTGGAGCCGGACACGGACGAGTGCGAGCACGCCGTCGTCACCTCGCGGTACGTCGCCACGCTGCAGTTGTGCACGTCCTCGGAGGAGAGCGAGGCGCGGTCCTCGTCAGACGAGTCCTCGGTGTACTCGCCGCTCGCGTCGCAGCTGTCCGGAGGCTGGAAGAGAACAGGCGGTCATTTGTTGGTCCATTTGGCCCAGCTTCTGCAGCCGCAGCGAGGCACAGACTGCTGTTTCCGTTCGTACCTGGTGCTGGCCGGACTCGCTGTGCAGCTTGAGCCACTGCTTGGTGCGGGCCAGCTTGGCGGAGCGCTTGGCCGTGCCGGCCGCCCCAGCCACCACACTGCCGTCCAGTCGCAGCGGCTCGAAGCACCGCGCCGCGCCGCCCACCCGCAGCGGCGGCCCCGCCGGCGACACCAGGACGGTCTCGGGGGCGCGGGGGAGGTCCTCGGCCTGCGCGCCGCACCGCACCAACTGCTCGGCCTGGTTCACCAAGCGCTGGATGCACTCCTTGCTGCTCCGCATCGGCGACATCTTGGGCACGCTCGCATCTGGAAGCGAAAACAGCGGGTGTTGTAGAGGCCAGTCTGAAACCTTTCGGCAGCACGACGGGGCCCTGAGACTTACTCTCGCTGAAGTGCCTGCCGCCGTTGAGGTTGCCGTTGAGGTTGCCGTTCATGGTGCCGTTGCCGTGGCCCTGCGCGTGGTAAGTCCACTCCTCGTCCGAGTCCGACGCCGACGCCTCCGTGGGCCTGGACAGCGCCAGGTCCGAGAGGCTCCCCGCCGACGTGGTGCTCAGCAGGTGCCTCCGGTTGTTGTTGTTGTTGTCGTCGTCGTGCGCGATGTCGTGCGGGAGGTCGAGCAGGTCCTCGTCGTGGTCAAGCAGGTCCTCGTCGTCGTCCTCCAGCGACAGGTCGTCGGCGTGGTCCGAGTTGCCCGGGTGCTCCTGCCGGTCTGAGTCCATGTCGGTGTAGCGGAACTGGTAGTAGGCGACGTTGGGGGACTGGTCCAACCTGGGGGGCAGACAAGGCGAAGACGGCGCATTAGACTTAATCGAACGCAGCGCGAATCGCGTGGGTTCCTTTTCGCCGACAGGGGGCTGTCTCTCTCGCACTCAAGGGGTCCCGTGGGGGTGCGAGAGAGACAGAGCGACAGATAGCGGACGCGTCATCTCGAAATGAGAAGCCAACGGGGGCGGGCCACTGGTGGGGCACAGGGGCGGCACCCGATGCCCCAATAACAGTGCAGGCGGCTCCGTTTCCACCGAGCCCGTCCCGGTCTTGTCGGCGCAGCGGTGTACCAGTGCCAGGGTTACCTGTTGTACGCTAAACTTGTCTACAAGCGACGGGACACATCTCACCACAGGCAGTCGCCATCCGATCCTGCAGGCCGATACCGTACTTGTGCACGCCGCGGCGTGGCGGGGCGGCGGGCGGGGCGGGGGGGGTGGGGTGGGGTGGGGCGGGGCGGCCCAGCGAGGTGCAGCTCGGGACAGCGGTGCCCTAGAAAGCCCTGAGCGACAAGTCGACCATCGTTTCCTAAGCAGCCCTCTTCGAGCAAAGTCCGAAATAGCGTGCCGGCAATGGCAAGGCAATGGCAAGGCAATGCACTGCCTTTTCATTATGCAGCCAATACGAGGAGGCGGAGGGAAACTTTCACCAGGCTAGGTGGCATCGCCAGTATGGCCAGCATCGCCCGGGCACAAAGGGGCGACAAAAAACAACATAAACCATGACTGAAAGGATTGAGGAGAATAGCAGCCTGGCCGGCCCGGCCGCGCCGTGCATTGGCTCCGGGCTCTCCGGCAGCCAGCAGCAGCAGCTTCGAAAGGCCAGCCCGTGTTGACAAGTACTTCATTCAATTTTTAAAATCTTCTTCAAGTAGTGCTCCCCGGGCAGCACGCACAACGTCTCTGCCTCTTTCCCCGAGCTTCGCCTCGGTCTCGCTCGGTCTCGCTCGGCCTCGCCCGGCCGGGCCAGGCGCGACAGGAAAGCAGCGGCGCTGTATTGTTCTACCCGAATGTCTCAATAAACATACCCGTCTATGACTTTCCCCGCCGGGCTTCCTTTTCCTCGAAACATTTTTACTCACTTCCCGGGCATATTTCTGCCTGGCCGCGTGGCTGCTACAAATGGAGCCACATCTCAAGTCCCGCTCTCCCTCTCTCTCCCTCCCCCTCCCCCTCGGGGCACGTGCAGTCCTTGTAGGTTAGGACGCCTTGGTTCGTCCGTCTTCTTCGGAAGTGAACAATAGGCACTGCCGTGCCGCCCCGCGCCACAGTGCTAGGGGAATGCGGTGAAGGACTGGCCGGGCGAAGCCCAGCCAGGCGCCCCGGGGCCTAAGTAACCAGGCCCCGTGAAGGAGCGGCCGACCCGAACCGAAACAATCACTTGCTCAAACATATTGGCGCGCTTTTCAAAAGGAATTTCGGGGGCGAATCGGAGCGCGGCCGCCCGCGGCCATTGTCCTGCCGCTGACGGGTGGTGTCTCGAACCAGGTTTCGGGTCCCACAAAGTTCGCGGAAATCGTGGCGGGTTTCTCCGCCGCTGTCTGTCCGTCCGGACGGCGAGCGGAGCCGAGTAGTGATTGATGAACAAACTGGCGGTTGTGGCAGTGGCACAAAGTGACGCCAGCGGCCGTGTCTCTCCCCCTCCCTCTCTCTCCCTCTCGCATCGCGCTGATCTGGGGCTGTTGTTAGCTGATCGGCCGGTACCCCCACGGCCCCACACTGCCACGCCCCAGATACCCGGCGTGTACCCGCACACCGGCACACCGACACACCGGCACCTGCCCTTGACGGGTCCACGCCCGCGGGGGCCCCGTTCGGCTCTACGTCTCGGACTGACTTCGAGTGTGGTTCCCGGGGGGCCGCTTGTCAGAGCGCTGCCCCCGCCGGGGCCTCGGCCGGGGCCGCCAGAGTAGAGGGCGTTATTCGCAGGGAAACCCGACTCGACTGCGAATAACGGCACTTGAAATCTGCCAAGGCCTCCTGCGGACCGATTCCGAACAGGGCTTTTGCCGTCACTCTGTCTCTCTCGCACCCCCAGGGCATACTGCAGGGGCGCGAGAGAGAGATAGAGCGACGGTTTGAATCAGTCCGCCTGACGTGGCGTTTTTCGCAGCGTAGTGCGACTCGACTGCAAAGCACGGCGCTCGAAATCCGCCAAGACTCGGAGAGACTCACCGGCTGCTGAAGCGGCCGTTGTCGTTGCGCGTCCTCTTGTTGATGTTGTTGCTGGTGGCCACCACCGCCAGGTTGTGGTTCACGTCGGGGGCGTGGCCGGTGACCGACGTCGTCATCATGGTGGCGGAGGCCGTGGCGGGGGCGGCGCTCAGCTCGGGCTCGGCGGCGGCGGTCATCGTGTCGGGGGGCGGCGAGGGCGGGGACGGCGGCGGCGGGCTGCCGCGCGGACGGCCGCCCTGCTTGCGGCGTCGCTTGATGGTGGCCTGCAACAGAGACGCTGTCAATACCCCGCGCGCACCAGAAAGACCGCCGTGGCGATACCCCGCGCGGACGGTTGCCCTGCTTGCGGCGGCGCTTGATGGCGGCCTGCATCAACCTCACTAAGTAACAGTGAGAGGCTCATGCTTGACAGAGCCGTTCGTTGAGCGTCCATCCTTAAACCTTAAACCTTAAACAGGGACGCTGTCAATACCCCGCGCGCACCAGAAAGAACGCCCTGGCGATACCCCACGCGGACGACTGATAGCACTGGGAGTCGCTCTGGCGCGGGGTGTCTCCGACCGCCCAGCTTGCGAACCCATTCCACGCAGCTGTCACCGCGACCGCTGCCTGCTTTGCATATTAATTGCAGTGTACGTCCGCCTAGTGAGGAGGTAGGTGCTCGCCGGGGGTTCGCGCGGCCGGCCGACTGATTCCGCTCGGCGATTCGCGGCGTCGCTCTGTCTCTCTCGCACCGCCACGCGGCGGCCGGCGAGGGGGAGAGAGAGAGAGAGAGAGAGAGAGAGAGAGAGAGAGAGAGAGAGAGAGAGAGAGAGAGAGAGAGAGAGAGCGGGCACGGTGACCTGCGCGCCGGACGCCCCCCGCCAAATAATTACGGCGCCAACTCCAACTTTCGGGACGAGATAATCGGCTTGGCACGCGAGGGCGCGAGGGCCGCGAGGTTCGCGTCGCTCTGTCTCTGTCGCACTCGCGGGTCCCTCCACACCGGTGCGAGGGAGACAGAGCGACATCCCGCCCGGCGGATAGGGTAATTACTATCGGGACACTCTTGATTGAAAGCGATTAAACACAGACCGTGCGGGTCTCATTAGGAGTGAGGGCTGCGCGGCCCTTTCGAACAGTGCTCTGTCTCTCTCGCACACCACGGGCCGCCCCGTGAGTGCGAGAGAGACAGCAGGAAGGGGCTTTACGACGCACGGCAAGAAGGTGACGCCTCTGACGACTGAATTGAGGCGCCACCCCGCACAGTGGGCCAGAAGCCGGCAGAGGCGGCCAAAACTCTCGACGCGTTTTGAGCTCCAGAGTCGCTAAATGGGACTCGAACCGAACGTGTGACCCCACCAATGGATTGCTCTCCCAACGAGGAATCCATTGGTGGGGTTACACGTTCGGTTCGGGGCCTGTTTAGCGACTCTGGAGCTCAAAACGCGTCTAGAGTTTTGGCCGCCTCCACCGGTCTTCTGGCCCACTGTGCCCGGGCCGGCATCACCCGTCTCTCTCGCACTCATGGGGCGGCCCGTGTAGGCGCGAGAGAGACAGCGCGACGGGAACGACTCTCGGAATCGCAGTTACCCACGAGAGGGGCCGACTGCAGCACGGGGCACGGACGCGGACCCGCCGCGAGCACCGACTCGACCGCGCATCTAGGTCTCCGGCTCCGGTAAGTTCACACCAGTTTTGACAGCTCTCTGGTCGCTGCTTCCGATTGAATTTGTCTTCGTCGCTCTGCCGGTGTGCGAGAGAGACAGGGCAAACAAACACTGTGTCTGCTGGTAGGCAAGGGTTCAGTGGATTCGATTTCGTTCGTTCAAGCTAATGGACCTGCCTGTCGCGGTACTTCTAGAGAGCGCTAGAGACGACACTCTACTCGGCGGACGCACCTTGATTCCAGTGGAGGCTCCGACCATGTTCCTGAGTTGCTGTCGTTGCTGTCGCTGCTGGGCCGAGTCCATCAAGCCCGCGGCCGCGGCGCCCTGGTCCGGCAGACCCCGCTGGTCCCGCTGGTCCCGCCCCTGGCGCGGCAAGTCCTCATCGTGCGACAGGGACAGTCGCGGCTGCTTGCTGGCGGGGCCCTCGTCGCTGTCGGACTGGCTGGGCGCCGGCTGCTGCAACAAGGAACCGACGACACACATCAGAGACGAGCCGACCTTCACCTGCTTGACGCTGAGCCTTGTCATCGGCGTGTAGGTACACTGGAGGTACATTGCGTCGTTTTGCTGAAGAGCCGAGGGCATTGGGTCACGTTGCGCCACGCCTGCCCGCCTGCCTGTGCCCTGCGGTGTAGCACTGCAACGACACGCCCCCGCGCAGCCGCGCAGAGGAGGTTCGGAAAGAGACTATATACTGTGACTACACTGCAGAGTCCAATGTCGTTCAAAATTAGTTCCAAATTGGAATTAAATTCGTTTGGCATGCAAGGATGCGAAGCTTTGGCCGCCGCTCGGTACTTTTCGGCGAGTAGGCGAAACGTGCCGAGGCCTTCCCGAACTCGTCCCGAACCGAAACCCATTTGCGAGTGTGTTGGCCAATTGACGCCGCACCACGCCCACACCGAGGCGTCGGGACGCGGGATTCAGACGTGGGCCGAAAACGGCCATGAAATTCACTTTCCAGCTCCGTCATCGCGGCACTTTTACCGGGCGATCGTATTTCAACGAGCGATCGCGCGAGGAAAAGGCAATCCCGCAAATCACGCGGCGCGGCTCTCTCCGTCTCTCTCGCACCACGGGGGAAAGCCCAGCCCAGCCCGGCGTGCGAGAGAGACAGACGGCCGTATAGGATCGCACCCTTTACCCGGATTGGGCCGCCTTAATGGCCTTTTCATAACTCAACTCCGGGACCTGCTAACCTACGCAGTGCGTGTCGGCCGGTGCGGCTGGCCTACTTACACACTGTAAATCTCCCATTCGCTAATACGAAAGGCTCTACACCGCATCTCCATGCCGCGGCTACGCGCTTTCGTCGCTCTGTCTCTCTCGCACTCGCGGGGCGTCCCGTTCGGGAGCGAGAGAGACAGAGCGACGAGCGCGGAGTCAGCAGCCGTGGGTGCCGCCATGCCGCCATGGGAGTTCTGCAGCCCTGTGTTGTCTGACCCGCATCGCCGCGTCGCCACGGCGTCGCAGCAGCCGTGACTGAGTCTGTCTCTCTCCCTCGCGACGTCCCCGCATTGTAGTCTCATTTAGCGCCCTTGACGAGCAGACGACTCGTGTGTGACTGGGTCGTGACGAGTTCGTGACACGTTCGTCACGGCCTCGTCACGGCCTCGTCGCGCGGCGAGGCGCTTTCGCTGCTTTCATTGTCAATGTCCTCGCCTTGGGGAGTTACTGGGGCGTGGCGCTCTACTCCACTACAAGACGTTCCGATCCACTGGAACCTCCCCCCCCTCTTTTTCCCCTTTTTTAAGAAGATGACTACTCGCCATGCTCTCGCAACAAGTTTTCCTTCGTTTTTCTTTCGAGCGCCCCGGGAGGGAGTCGAACCTCGGTCCGCAGGAAGCGTGGGAAGCCCAATCATCGATATGGAAGCGGTGGCAATAATTTGATCAGCGGCGTGATACGCCATTGCACTCGCGGATGCGCGCAGTGCGTGCACTCCCCCTCCCCTCTCCCTCCCCCTCCCCTCACCCCTCCACCCTCCGCCGGTCCGCGGGGACCTCACGCTCGACCGAAACGATTCGACAAATAACACCAGAAATTCTATCAATAAAAGAGTGGCCCATAAATAAATTAAATTGGGATAGCAGCGCAACCTACAGCGTGGTGGCGGCGCGCGCACTTAGCATAGAACGCGATCGATGGAGGAGAGCGGGGAGAAGGCACTGCACTGCAAGGCCGAGGAGGAGCAGCAAGGCCAACCCCGGCAGCTGATTGTGTCGTTATTGATTTATCGGTCGATACATCGCGGGGAATTTGCTGGGGCTGGAGATTGGACGAGGGGGTGCGCGCAAATATCGCACAGTGGGCCAGAAGAAGACTTGGTGGAGGCGGCCCAAATTCTAGACGCATTTTGAGCTCCAGAGTCGCTAAGCAGGACTCGAACCCGAACCGATTGTGTGACCCCACCAATGGATTCCTTGTTCAGAGAGCAATCCATTGGTGGGGTTACACGCTCGGTTCGAGTCCTGCTTAGCGACTCTGGAGCTCAAAACGCGTCTAGGATTTTGGCCGCCTCCACCGGTCTTCTGGTCCACTGTGAAACGCCCCGGATTGGCTTGTCGAGGGAGATCCGGCCGCCGCTTTTCGCAGTGTGCTTTTACTACATACGGTACCGGGAGGCCCGTAATTAAAAGCGAGCCGGGTAATGGCCTTGGCGAGCCGGATTCGCGGCCCTGACCTCCAGCACTCCGTCTCTCTCGCACTCGCGGGGCGTCCCTCTAGTCCCGCATGCGTCCCGCGTGGGTGCGAGAGAGACGGAGCGACGACACTCAGAGGGGCCGGGCGAGGCGAGGGGAAGGCCCACCCTAACCCACATGCGGTGCCGCGGGTGCACACACACACACACTGACCCGCTCGGAGGGTGCGGTGCGGGCGGGGCGACCAATTCAGAATCGAGCATTGTTTTGGCTCGGCGCCACGACGATGCCAACGTCAACACGCTTTTGTTTTTGTTTTCCAGAGCCGCGGCGCGAATTGTTGTTGTTGTTGTTTGGCGCTGCTGTTTGAGGACGTGCGGTCGTCGCGTCCCCTCGCGCCCCGCGACCAAGACACACACACGGGGCCAAATTGACACGACACTTTTCTCCCTCACACAAAAACTGACTGAGTGCACACACACACACACAACGAGAGAGAGAGAGAGAGAGAGAGAGAGAGAGAGAGAGAGAGAGAGAGAGAGACACACACACACACACACAGTCGCACACACACACACACACTGAACCAATAAAAACCCCACCCCCTCGCTCTGTCGAGGAAAATGATAGGAAAATAAGGGCCATGTGTGCTTTGCTTGCTCTAAGTGCGGAGAGTGGGTAGACCGTGCGTGCGATTGGTGCAATGAGTGCGACGAGTGGTGCAACAAAGGGAAGGGTTGGGACGACTAATTACGACCAGGGCCCATAAATCCCGTTCAAAGCCATTATGCGGGACGACCGCCGCGCCGCCACCGTGTTGCAGTGTAGTTGCAGTTCGCCGTCGCGCGGCTGGAACCTCAACATTTTTACTAACGTTTTCTTTTACGAGCCGCGGCGGCAGCCTGCCCGGGCTCGCCCGCGTCGCAATTAGTTTCACCATCATTGGATAAAAAGCAAAGCAGATATTTTACGAGAAATAAGAGAAAATTGTAAATGTCGAGTTTTTTTTTCTTTTTTTGCAGTGTGGATCCCACCCCCGCTGCCGACGACAAGGGCAGCGTCGGGGTCGTCGCGCGACGCCGTCAGATCGACGCGCGGATAGAGGGACGTGGTACGGACCGCGCGGCGCCGAGCCGAGCCGAGCCGAGCCGAGCCGAACCGAGCCGAGCCGAGCCGGAACAGCACAGTGGACGCGGAACACCGCCGAGGGGGTGGAAAACAGCCTTATCCTTTACCGTCGGCAGCTGGCCAGCAGCGAGGTAGAGAAAATGCACTTGTCCGTAGCCAGCGCGCAGTCGCCGGACAGACCTTGGCGTGACACACTGCGTGACGGACCGCGTGACGAGAGTGTGACACCAGCGTGACGACGGTACACGGCACACGGGTTTAAGAGGTTAACGAGACACGGGCGGGGATGTGCAGACACGCCATACGCCCCTCTGCTGCAGTGGGCGGGTCAGGAATGGTCGAGCCGCCAGCGAGCATGCTAGCTTCTGGTGCCCGGAGATAAGCCCTATGCCCAGTGCACACACACACACACACACACACACACACACACACACACACACACACACACACACACACCACCGCAGAAGGCGGGACGCACGCCACCGGAATCAAGCGTTTTCCGCTGCACGCGCGCTAAAGCCGCTAAAGCGACCTAAAGCGAGCTGAAGCCCGGCCGGCACAAAGGGACAGTCCGTTCTAGGCGTAAGTGATGCTAAGTGGCCGACACACACACACACACACACACAATCTCGGTGGCGCCTGATTGTTGGGTAGGAAAAAGTAAAGTTGGTGGACGCTAAAAGGCGGTTGGCAACGCTAATATCCGCACGCGTGCGCTGCTGTGTGCAGTTGCCACGCGTCACGCGCTAGCTGCGCACGCCCACACTCGGAGGCACTTGAAAAACGCGCCTTTCATCCCGTCAGTGTTTACCCGCCCGGCAGCTCACTCACAGCCGCTTGGATTTGGACGGATCAGGTGGCCTGGCAAAGCGGGCAAAGCGGGCGTGAGAGGGGCCTGGAGGCGCCGCGGGACACCCACCCCTCGCGGGCCTCGCGGGCCTCGGGCTCAGGTTGCTGCCGGAGAAAACGGCCGAGGTGGAGTGCTTGATGTAGGCGGCCCGCGGCGGCTCACCCACTCTACGACCTCCAGGGCCTCCAGGACAACAAACGCCCGCCCACCCCACTGCATCACTGTCACCCCATCGGCCTAGGCGGGCTGCTCCAGCACAGCTCCAGCGTGCTGGAGGCGGTGTCGACTTACGGACCAATCACGGCTCGATTCCCCGCATGGAATGTTTTCATTTGACGAAATTAGCTTTCAAACTTTCGGTCCGTTGAAATAAAACGCCACGAACAGCATCGGGGGTTCCTCGCGCAGCCACACATCATCTGGTGGTGCTGCCGCAACGAATGGGCCACGCCACGCCACGCCACGCCAGGTGCTGACAGGTCACCAACCCCGCGGCGACACTAACAAGAAGTATATATAGTGGTGCGACATCGCGATAAGCTCAAATCCGCCGCCATGCAGGATGCGGCGGGATGCGGCGGGATGCAGTGGGTAGGCCTCGCCTCGGGACACCCGTAAAGTGTGCCAGGGAGAAAAATACCCGCCGCAAAGTGCAAAAATGGGACGCGGAAAATGGCACTCGTGTTTTCTTTTAGCGCCGAGTCGACGTCCAGTCCGGCCAGCCGAAGCCTGACACTTGTATGGCCGGATGTCGCCGTGCGCCTTCGCCTTTGGCTAGCCTTTGGCTAGCCTTTGGCTTGCCTTTGGCTTGCCCCTAGCCTTTGGCTCCTTTGGGG